AACTTTGAAACACTTCCCCCCGTTCCTGCCCTTATTTCATTCCAGATATAGCCTTGGGCCTTGGTATGCACACACATTAGGATGTTACTTTTATGCCCTGAAAATTTCATAAAGATCCCATAATAAACACACCAGTTACTTCTGGTAGTCTTTCCCATAGTAGCTAAGGGTTCTTCTCTTGGTTTATCTAGAAGGAAGCTAGAATAAAAAGGCAGCTCTGCGCCTGTTGCGGGGTATCCTCTAGTCGTGTTTAATTTTTGTAACAAGTCGCTGCCTTTATTGATTTTAACGAGGCGCAAAGTAAACAAACAGGTTGGCAGCTCCGGCACTTAGCCCGGCTTTATGGCCAGCCGAGTGTTAATTGATCGCTGCTCAAGAGGCAAGTGGAAATTTTAATTTGAACGTGTTTTTTCGCTCAGTCGCCGTTTTTGCCAGTTGACAGATAGGCGCAGCATCTAATGCACTCAGCTCCAAGCATTAACCAAATTGGCAAAAGCCACTTGCATTGCCGTCGAGCCGTCCGATTAAGAGTGCGCCAAATAAACGAAAACATCTTACGTAAAGTGTTGCCAAAATAGTTTCATTTCTTAGCTTAGCCACATTTCAATTGCCCTTTTTATGCCTAAGCTCCAAATGACAATACATATTACATTAACTTCAATTGGGCTTTAGTCTCAGTCTTTTGTTAGGTTCAACATTTGTTGTCTAATCTGCAATTTATGTCGCTTGGAGGCTGGAAAGCCATATAAACGACAGAATTTGCAGATTTGCGTAAGCGTAGTATACTTTACGGCATGAACATTACGCCCCCTGGCAAAAGGAAGTCCTTGACAAGGAGGGAGCTAAGCTGTCTGCCGCCTGACGTCAATGGCTGCAGGTCCCGGAGAGGAACCATCCGAATATGGTGCTCCCTCCAGACTGGGCATCCATCCCGGTCGGATGAGTTGCGAATACAGATCTGCGCCGAGCACCAAGGAGACGGTGTCCAGCCGATGTAATCATGCATCCGCCAGGACAATGTTCTCCAGTACATACGTACATAAATTTACAACATAACAGAAATGATTTTTTAACCTATTTCAAAGGTTTCTTTTAGCTCAAGTCGAATTTACTTTTCCCAGATGAATATTCTATTTTGTAGGCCCAACAACAGATTAGAGTGAACCCTCAAACATACCAGCAGAATCGTGCAAGTCGGTTTTATAGATTTATTTTGCTTTCAATTGGTTGTTCAGATATCTTTTTGAATCGCCGCTGTTAATTATATATATATATATATATATATACACCGCGGAGATAGGTTGTCCGATCGAATTGTGGAACCATTCTCGTACGCGTCTAAATATGTATTATGTGTGTATATTTGTGGGCATATATATTAAATTGTATGTGTGGTATTCGTATTGAAAAGCTTATGCAAGAAACAGTTAAAATCGCTTATGCCATTTGTTATTGTTATAAACATTAATTTATTTTTATTTCACATACGATTTATATGTACTATATATAATAATGTTGTGCTTTAGTTTGTTTTTTTACAGTGTACCAAGTTAATGTATCTATTATGTAGATTATCATATGAGATATTTGTTGTAATTTATTTGTTCTCTTCGTTTTTTTGTTTTATTATTATTAATATTATATTTTTAGTTTTCTTAATTACCACAACAAGCGTTTCCAGTTTTCTTATTTGATTTACTAACAATAACTATTTATATACCTGTGCAGTCGCCCCAGCCGACTTCCGACCTGGACCCAATGTCTCAGCGCCCTTTTGCTCGAGGAGCCCAATAGGTTCCATGTGGCGTGTGGGATATTGAGTCCTGGATCGCGACTGCATATTTGAAATGGATTACCAATTTGTAAATAGTTGAAGATTTATACAGAGACTATATGCATATTTAAGCTATTAATACTCGTTTGGTAATTTTACATATCCGTTAATTAGAGAGCGTTATCAAGTAGCTTTATTGGTTGGGAGTCGGGAGTTGGGAGTAATCGGGTGTTCGAGAATTTTGATCTGGTATCTGGGATGGCAGGAATTCAAATTGCAACTGTGCTTTTTGCATGTGTGTCTGTGTGGGATAGTGTATTTGTTATTCGCTGTAAATAATTGTTAAAATTACAATTCGATATTTCAGCCAGAATCGTTTAGTGTGCGAATCTTTGGCTTATTGTGTAGAAAAGAAGAGTTTAAAAACGATTAAGTACATATAAAAAATAGTATATATATTTTAAATACATATTTACAAATACGAGTATGTAAGCTACTAGACGAAATGGAAATGGAAAAAACAAAACGGAAAACAAAAAAACAGACCCCAGACTAACAAACGAGCGTCTGATCAAAGCTATTTTCTTTCTGATCGATTTACATTATGATCGATAATACAATTTGTTTGCTGCCGAAAGTAATCGAAAAACAAACCATGCAACAACGAGAGTTCAAATCTAAATGTTTATATATATATATATATATATTTGTTTGTAATCTTATTTTCTCATTTGATTTGTGTTCAATCAAAATTTAAACAGTCTGTGTGTGTGTGTCTGTATGTGAGTATAAATATAAGTATATTCAAATACAATTTTCTTCCCTATATTTGCTTGTTCAATAGACAATTTCTTATTAAATTTTTGTTTGTTTTTTTATTTTTCCTTTTTCGCGTTTTACCCGTAATTGTAGTTGCAAATTTCTAAATCATAAAATACACATCACATTTGATTTATGGAGTAGAAACAAGTCGAACCCACAAAATAATGCAAATAGAACCAAATATCCAAAAGGAACCCGATTTGTCTGCGTATTTACGTGTATTGAGTATTATTAGTCTTAAAACGTTCGTCGATATATCTATACATATTAAGTTCATAATTGTTTATGTTAAGCTATGTAAGGTACAATATACAAACATGCATTGCCTCACACACTAACTACAGATGCCTATGTGTGCGTGCATGTATCTATGTGTCCATGTAAGTATCTAGACAGGGACTCGTTAGTTTTCTATAGCGGAAGTCGGGGTTGAGTTGAGTGTGTAAAGCTTTTTCACAAATGTCTTCATTTATTTTAATTTTTTTTCTGTTTATTCTTATTTCAAGTTAAAAACTGAAAAAAAAAGAAAACAAACAAAACATGAAAGGAAAATCCAAATAATGCTAACAACAAAAATAAATAAACATTTCAAAAGTGTTTCGGCCGTAATTATGTATTTTTGTTGTTTTTGTTGTTGTTGTTTTGCTTTGTTTATTAATTGTTTTTAAGTTTTGCATTTTGTTTCCATTTATTATCGCTTACTCTTACAATGCTAGTTTACACACTAAAGAAAGTACAACTACGTATATTAATTGTATTTTATTTGTATATTATATTATATTCTATTATAATTTTTCGGATGTGGTTTTGGATTTAAAATATTTACTGATCGTTTCAAAATGCACAAGCATTGAATTCTGCTTCTGCGTTTTACAGTTACAATTACAGATACAATTAAAAGTATTACCTTGTATAAAAATAATAATAATAATATTAATTATAGCATACATTAATAGTGTTCTCTATGTGTGTGTGTGTGTGTGTGTGTAGGTGTATACGTGTATGTGTTTACATTTTACTCTTGCCCAATCGATCTCTCAAATCTTTATCGAATTCGCAACTCCCCCTTCTGCCTCTCTCACTCTCCATCGTTCCTTCTGTATTTCATAGTTAAAATAACTAAATGTAGTTTAATTCTTGTTACAGCATAAGTTAATTTAATTTACGTACATTGAAAAATGTTGCTCCTTCAACTACATCCTCAAATATATATATATATATATATGTATGTATACATATATATATATATCTATATATATTTTAACTTCTTCTTTTATTTTGTTAACGCACGCTGCCAACGCCAATCGAGTGGGCGTGGCAGCATTGCTAAAGCGCGTGGTTCTGAAACGGCATGAGCTGAAAGCTAACATGCCAAATGTCCATGTGTGTGTGTGTGTGTGTGTGTAGGTTTATATATATATATACACTAAATATATATATATATATACATACGTGTGTGTGTGTGTTTGTGTGTGTTGAGATGCCAACTAACATTATTTTGTATCACTTAAAATATATTTATTAGCATTATCATTCAAAATTATTATCAAATATGTACAGTTTGCTATTTAACAAATGAGTTGTTTATAGTTTCTTTTTTTTATTATTAGTTTATAGTTTAGTTTAGTTGGTTTGCTTGGCTGGTTGCTTGGTTGATTGGTTTGCTTCGATTTGCCCAGTGCGGGGCTGAGCGCTACTATTTTAGATACATATATACATATAGGTATATATATATAGTTATATATAGGCTCTAGGGTTAGGCGATCTTGAAAATAAGACCTGAATCGTTACACACATATCTAAAATTAAGCGAACTTTTTTTGTTTTTCGTTATTGGTGGCTTCTCATTATAGATTTATACACAAGTGTTCCTTATTGCTGCTCTTCGTTTAGTTTTGTATGTATGCAAGTAAAGCAACTATAGCAAAACGAGTTACAAATTACATAATAATCATAAGATTTACTAAATCATACCGCCCAGCCCGCCGCGGCTCCTCTCCACCAGCATTCCTTCCCATCCGATCTGCCGTATGTTACAATAATTTGGAAAACCTTTGGGGCGTATCTCGAGTAGGAGGAGAAGGAGGAGGGTCTCACACATTTATATTCACACCGAATATTTGTAGGTTTTTCTTTTTGTATATATGCATATGAAATTCTATATATATAATCTATATATTTATATAACTGCAGTATTAGCAGTAGCTGTTGCCGTCTAGGCAGACGTCTGTTTGCCCAGCTTGACCAGGCAGAGCGCACAGCAGCACTGCGGCGGCTGCAACAGCTGGCCCAGGGCCACCATCAGCGGACTCGACCGCGCAGCTCCCGCCGATGCCAGGCTGAGCGAGGTGCCACTGGGCAGATTCAGGGTGCAACAACCTCCACTTGCCATTGGATGTTAGCTGGTGTCCACGTCTCATCTGTTGATTGTCGGCGTTGCGTTCACGTTGCCCGTTGTTGCATTCACTCCGCCTCCTCCTGTTCCGCTGCCGTTGTTGTTGCTGCTGCTATTCGCATTGTTGCTGCTGCTGTTGTTGTTGTTGTTATTGTTGCTGTTGCTGTTATTGTTGTTGTTATTGGTGTTGGTGGGCAGCACAACGCCGCCATTGTTGGCATTGGCAATCACCTGCTCGACGGTCACGTGCACCTTGCCCACCTCCTTGGCAATACCGTCCGCATTGCCCACATTGTTAGCATTGCTGGTGACCAGCTGTCGAATAGTGGTCGGAGTGCCTCCTCCGCCGCCGCCAGTGCTGTTAACGGTGGTGCCCAGCGGCAGGGTTCGCGTCAGAATGGCCGAGTTGTTAAGACGGCCGCGCAGCACCTGCTGCAGTCCGGCGGGTCCAAGCTGCATCTGCATTTGGCCGCTGTTGTTCTTCTGCAAGGGTTTCACATTCAACAGGCTGGTGTAGAGCACGCGTTTGTCGCCCGTTGAGACCGGCACCTGCACCTGACCACCGCTCGTCTTGAGTTTCTGGTGCTGCTGCTGATGCTGTTGGATTCCGGCGGGCAGCGGTGCGCCCGTCTTGTTCAACACGACCGTAGTGGAGCCCAACTGCTGCGACGTCTGGCTGACCAGCGTATCAGCGGCATTCGCTGTTGTGGCGCTGCTCACAAAGTTCAGCTTGACATTGGCATTGGGCAGCTCCTTGTAGTGTAGCTTCTGCTGGCCCGCGTTGCTGGCAGCCACCGCTGCCTGCAGCTCGCTGGCCGTGGCAATGGTGAAGTTGCCGCCGCTGCCGCCGCTGCTGTTGCTCGTCAGGAAGATCTTGTTGGCCTGCTGTGGCGCCGCCTGTGAGGTGATTATGGCCGTCGCCGGCTGCAGACTATAGTTGTGATTGGCCGCAATGGCCGCTGCCGAATTGGGCTTCTGCTGCTGTTGCTGCTGACCCGTCTGCTGCTGCAGGTTTAGGTCCGACACAAGCAGCGGAAACTGAGCCATTTTGATCACCTTGCTGATCTTTTGCAGCTGCTGATGTTGTTGTTGCTGCTGCTGCTGTTGTAGATGCTGTTGTTGTTGCAGTGCATCGCCGCCCTCCTGCAGGGTGAGCTGCTCGCCAGCTCCGCTAGCCACCAGCTCATCCTCCTGCTGCACCAACTGCTGCAGCTGCTGCTTCGTTAGCTGGATCTGCTGCTGCGCCACCTGCTGACCCACCTTGCGCTGCGAGAACTTACGATTCAACAACAGCTTGTTAATATCTGCAAAAACCAAACAAACAATAGTTATAGTAACAAGCTGATCAACAGTCCCAAAGTGCAACAAAACAAACTATGAAGGCTCAACAAAAAGTCGATAAAAGCTATAAATAATAATGATATAACTTTTTCTTAACTACAACACTCGTAAATATTAGGACAACAAAAAACAGCAGTTGTAAATATATGTTTATGCCGATGTTATTTATAATAAAATATGTCAATAAACTTAACACGCCAATAACGATACATTAGGGAAAACGAACATACATATGTCATTCATATGCCCGAATACACTTTTTTATACTATCAAACAGCCTTTTCCACCCATTCCGCCCGTTTCACTAATAATGTAGAGCTGTGATAAGCAGCATAAGGCTGAAAATATAACCTTCACTCATACAAACTTTGCCTGGCAAGAGTGCAGTTTATTTTTCACGAATTTTCCACACTCGCAGGTGGATATTTTAAAAAACCCTGTGGTCGCATGCACATTAGAGTTAGAATATAATAAGAAAAATGAGTCCCGTTTTTGTTGTCTAACAAAATAATTATAAAGCTCTGTAATATCAGTACTAAACGGAATTTTTAATTTTGGTCAGCTTCGTAATATATGTCAAATATATTTGGAATAGACATAAAGAAAAAAGTCGTTCCTTAAATAACATGTTATACAAACTATTCTAAAATTCAATCTATTTATACAGCGCATTTTTCGCTGTCGATATATCTGATTTCTGTCCTTGCTATTGATATTACGAGTCAAGTACAAATCCCATCCTTGAGTCGATTATATAAGAGGCCCAAGCGAACGCAATCATGAAAGTCTACAAGGATATTTTTACCGGAGATGAGATGTTCACGGACACGTACAAAATGAACTTGGTCGACGATGTTATTTATGAAGTGTATGGAAAGCTGGTCAGCCGTAATCAGGACAACATTGTCCTGGCTGGTGCCAATCCATCGGCCGAGGAGGCCGATGAGGGCACCGAATCAGCCGTAGAAAGTGGCGTTGACGTGATACTGAACCATCGTCTGCAGGAATCATTTGGATTCGCAGACAAGAAGTCTTTCACTCTCTACCTAAAGGAATATATGAAGAAGGTGCTAGAGCATTTGCAGGAGAATGCACCCAACGAAGTGGATGTGCTCAAAACCAACATGAACAAGGCAATGAAGGACATTCTGGGCAGATTCAAGGAATTGCAATTCTTTACAGGCGAGTCGATGGACGTCGATGGCATGGTCGCCATGTGCGAATATCGCGAACTAAATGGCGAGAGCGTTCCAGTTTTTATGTTCTTCAAACACGGTCTCCAAGAAGAGAAATTGTAGTCTACATTTGTGGCGATACTTCCCAAATGATAGTTTTCAAATTGTTTTCCGATGTAAGCAAAATTATAAATAATTGATAATTAATAAGCAAGCCATCAGGATATTTTACAGCTACAATAAATAATATCGCTCTGACGAAACAAAAGATAGATTATTAAAAATACTTTAATTGCGTTGATCAACTGTTGGATATTGTTAAAGAAACACACGAACACGAAGCACTACAAGATTAATTAAACACTTTTGGAATGTGCGCCCCGATAGGTATGCTATATTATTTATCGATCTGGGAAATGTGTTCTGCAGTTAATCAAAAAGTTAAGACAACACAAAAAGGTAGCAAAAACACAATATGTTAGTTGAAATTATTAATTCAAAACAATCAAACCCATAAATATATGCTACTCAATTGTTGTATTTCCTTGAAAATATTTAAATATCTCATTGTAAACTGAAAAAAGCCCGATTTCATTTGTGATTATTCACAAAATAAGGTTTTCACTCCTAAGCAGAACTGGAAAATATTAAAAATTAGCTTTTGTTGATATCTACATTTTTGTAACTAGGAATTCCGCTTGGTTCAACTCTCTTCTCTGCACTTCTGCCCTCCTCCTCTGCTCTGCGCCTTTGTTACTTTCCGTGTGCTATATGCCACATAAATCTCAACACTCTCTCATCAACTTTCAACACTGCAGCTCCCTCACTCTCTTGCGTTTTACAATACACAACCTAGGGGGTATAGTTGCTCGAAAGGGGTTTTAAATAATCGAGCTGCGCATTCAATTGAGAACTGACGACTCACCTGTGTTTTCGGGTCCGTTTAGCTGCCGCTTCTGTGTGGTGCGGCTCGTCCACAGAATCTTGTTGCCCACGGCCGTTGGCGACTCCGATGTGGTGCTCGAGAGCACCGCCGTCGTGGCCACCGCTGTGTTGGTGCCACTCACCTGACGCCAAACAATTGGCTGCTGCTGCTGCTGTTGCGACACGAGTTGCTGCTGCTGTTGCTGGTGGGCGTTGTTGCGCGTGGGCGTGGCCACAATCAGAGGCGTGCTTGTTGTTGTCTGCTGCTGGAGCTGCTGCTGCTGTTGCTGAATGCCAGAAATGCTGTGCACAGCCAGCTGCTGTCCGCTGGCGGTGTTGATGATATTAACGCTCGAGTTGGCCGACGAGGACGAAGAGCTGTCATCGTTCTGCAGCTTGACGTTGGACAGCGTGATGACAGTGTTGGGTCCAATGGAGGCGCTGCTACCACCGCTGCTCTTCTGTATGGCATATGTCACCTTCTGGGCACCCACCTGTGCCGCCGCAGTCATAATCTCGCCGCTGCTTGTCGTGTATATCATATGATTGCCGCTGCGCGAAGTCACAATGCTCTGCGAAGAGATTACGGCCGGCGAGCCGCCAATGTCACGCTGCATTTGGAACAGCAGCTGTTGTTGTTGTTGTTGGGGCTGCTGTTGCTGCACCACCTGCTGCTGCTGCACCTGCTGCTGTTGCTGCTGCTGGGGTGTCGCCTGTCTTTGCTGCACGGTGACATTGCGTAGCTGCGCCTGCGCCAGCTGATGCTGCAACTGCTGCTGCTGCGGCGTCAAGGTAGGCAACGTCGGCAACGGACTGCTGCCCGTATGCGGCGTTATGGTCACAATGTCACCCACGGCCGTGCCGCTGCTCACGAACTCTGTCCTCGCAATCAGCTGTGTGGCAGCTGGCGCCGCGGTGGCCGCAAACTGATTCAGCAGCTGCTGCGTCACAGCTACCTGCGTAGGCTTCGGCTGCTGAGGCAGTTGCTGCTGCTGCTGCTGCTGTTGCTGTTGTTGTTGTTGATGCTGCGTTGTGATTTGGGCGGGTATGTTAAGCAGATGCGTTGCTGCAGTGCTGGCAACTAATGGTGCTGGAGCTGGTGTGGGCGCTGGTGCTGGCACTGCAGGAGCTGGAGCTGGAGCTGGAACTGCTGGCGCTACAATGGCGGGCGGCGTAGGTGTCGTTAAGGTAAGTGCCGCTGCATGTGCCAGCAGCGTCGGCGGTGTGGGTGCCGCCTCCGCTGGCTCCAGCTTGATGGGCAACGTGATCTCCGACGGCACGGTGTCTGGCAATGTTGGCGGCGGCTCTTGCTTGACGGGCGGTGCCTGGCAAAAGAAGGACGACTGGTGTTCGGCCGTTGTGAAACTGGAACTGCCCAGCGGCGCAGATGGGCCTCGTTCGTGAGCACGACTGCGCGCAGTGCGCTTCAAGTCGGAGACGGGCGCCGTTTTGCAGTCGAGCAAATTGTCGGCGTTCTCAACCTCGTCGACAGCCGCTTCGCCGTCAAGAATGCCGTTCCAGAAGCTGGTAGCCTGATTGAGCGCCTTGGGGTCATCTGCGCTGCACTCCTGCAATATGTTGACCAGCATGTGCTCATCGCCCAACAGATTGTTGATGTCGTTGAGTGAATCACCGCCGCTGAGATTGAATTCCAGCGCAGAACCGGAACACGAGCCCGAGCCAGAGTCAGAGCAGTCGCCGTTAGTGTTGTCGGGACTTCTATTGCTACTGTCGCGCGCGTAGTCCAGCCCGTAGGCAGTCTGCAGCAGTTGCACATCCGCATCGAGATCCGTGTACTTGAAGGCGCTGCTCATGAAGTGCGCGTCGGTTGCGGCGTCGTCGTCGTTGTCGCTGCACTTGCCCAAAAGACCAAACTCAAGGCTAATGGGCGTATCCTGTGTCCAGTCTACGACTGCGCTGTCGCAAACTTTGCCGTTACCGCTGCCCTCGTCCCCTGGGTTGCTGTCCGACAACTCGTCCGTGGGCGTCTTCGGCCGGAAGTGCAGCCAGTCTCGCCTGATCTCCGACAGCAGCTCATTGCAGATGTCTAGCCGCTGGCTAGACGTGGGCGACAAGCCGCCCATATAGTCATACGACTCGTTGTCGTCCTCCGTTGGCGCCGCGGTCGCATCTCCTCCAGCATCAATGTACAGTTGCTTGTTGTGCAGGCGTATGACATCGGGCATCTGGTTGAAACAACGTGTCTGGCTCTCCTGCTGTTGTTTCTCCTCCTGCTTCTGCCTTTTCTGCTGTTGCTGCTGTTGGGCCTGCAGCTCCTTTTTAACCGCTGTGTGCCGTATTATGCTGCTAAGCTGTGCCAGATTTACGTCATCTTCGGCCTCATCGTCGTCCATCAATTCCTGCTGCTGCTGATTTTGCATGGACGCCGCTGTGCGTATGCTGCTCAACGGCTCGTTAGAGTCATCTGCATCGATCAGTTCGCGCTTTATCGTCCTTGCTACCTCCTCGACTGTTGCATTTGCAGATCCAATTGCAGTTGTTGTTGTTGTTGTTGTTGTTGCTGCAGCTGCCGCTTCGGCTGCGCGTGCCGCAGCTGCCGCTGCCGAGGTAGAGGCCACCGGCTGCTCATTCAGAGTTGTCCCATCATCTCCGTCCGCATCCGCTTCCTCCACTTTTATCACATTGAATTTTTCGCTAATGCTAACATTCTTATTCATATTACTACTACTACTACTACTATTGTTGTTGTTATTAAACACGGTGTTGTTGTTGTTGTTATTATTATTGGAACGGTGGTGCTGATGATTAGCGTGGCGTGACTGCTCTATTAGCTCATCGCAGTTCTCCTGCTTCAGCTCCAGCTCTTGCTGAGGCTGCTTCTCCAAACTCACAGCATGCGCATCCGCCGACTCTTCCGCCTGCCTTTGAGACGACGAATGCAGGGCCTGCGCCAAACGTTGCAAATACGCCCGGGGCAGTGGACGCAGCCGCGGCATGCCATCATCCATGCTCACGCCGTCTTCGCTTTCAATGGCTGCGCTCTTGAGACGCTTTGCGGCATTGAGTTCGCGCAGTTGCTGTTTCTTGCGATGCAACCGGCGACGCTTCATGCGCATCTCGTAGGGACTTTGCTCCAGCGTCACCGCCGAGCTGTAGACGCTTAGGCGCGAGACGTTCTCATCCTCGGTGCACAGCTCATCCTCTCCCTCATCGTCTTCCTCCTCTTTGGGCAGCACCTGTTCACTGGCCGGCTCAACCTTGGGGAGCGCCGCCTCGGGTGCTGCAATTGCGTCCGCGGTTGACTCCTTGCACGTAGGCAGATCAACTACGGTGGGCGGGGAGCTGGGCTTGGACAGTTGCTGTTTATGCTGGTGCTTCAGAGGCTTGTCGCTCTTCACCACGCTGTCCATCACCGTATAGTCGAACTGCGACCACAGGTCGTCATAACGACTACTGGCCCGGTCAAGCAGCACGCGTCCGCCGCGCCCCAGACGCCGGCGTGCAAAGCCTATACAGCGTGGCCTATAAAATTACAAATATTAGCCATTTGGTACCTCTGAAATTTAATAATGCCAAATCACAAGAGTGTTACGCACCTGAAATAGTTGATCGATGTTAACGTATAGCGGTATTTAGCCTCAGCCCCAACGGCCGCACCTGGCGGCGCCTCTTCCTCAGCGTTCTCAGGGGGCGATTCCCAAGGCCAGCGGCCTTCGTCAGCTCCACGCGTCTGCGACAATGACAAAGGGAAAAATAAGAATAAGTTATGGCCATTTAGGGAGCAGGTAAGAAGCAGCGCAGCATATATGAACAACTTTTGTTAGATATTTCATATCATATAGGTTTAAGAACCTTTATTTGTTAAACGATTATCTCAACTAGCCGCCTGTATTAGCGCCTATTCCTTACAGAGCGTGTTATGTGCTAAAAATCAGCGAGGATACTGGCACAGTACAGTGATAAGACCTGTGTAAGGTAAGACTGTACCCGGGTGTCTCTTGCGGATACGCAGGACTGTTTCAAGAGCGAACCCAGAAGTAGAAGAGATCTGTGAGCGCAAACAGATCCTTGCGTACAAATCACGGAAGGAAGTTTTGCCGGAGCCGGCGAATCCTGCGACTAGCAAGTGTACTTCCCGCAAGGTTCGAAAATTACAATGTATATATATATTGTTTTTCGAACCAACACCCAACTAAGCCAAGCCTGGCTGTGAGTAGGGATAAGCCAAGGGTTCGATAAAAACATGCAATGTATGCTTACCCGCAGGTAGTTACACCTCGGCCTGCGTCTAAATGCAAACGGCGCCTCCTCCTCGCTCTCGGAACCCAGCTTGTTGCCATTTTGGGCGCCGACACCGAGGTAGTCCTCCTCCTCGCTGTCCACAATCGACTCGTTGGCCGCCGGTGAAGCGCTCTGGCGATGCAGGTGATGCAGATGGGACAGATGCGCAGGCGAAACGCCCGAAGCTGACGACGCCAGGCCCAGACCTGGCAAATACTGTTGTTGCTGCTGCTGTTGTTGTTGCTGCTGCTGATGTTGCTGCTGCTGCAGTTGCTTCTCCCGCGGAAGTTTGTGTTTGCGCTTCTTGTACGGCCGTTTCTCCTTTCGACTGCTGCTCCCGTTGCCACTGCCAGCACTGATGCCCTCTGCAAACGAACCAACATCATAAAAACTGATTCTGCATGCTTACACGCTGAACTTACCCATTGTCAGACTCGATGTGTTCAGGTACTGCGACGCCTGCGCATAGACTCCCGTGTTGCTGTTGCTTCCCGCTGCCAAAATGCCCGGAGTCAGCACCCCACCGCTGGCCATCAGAGCACCCGTAGCTGTTGTGCCAGCTGCCGTGGCGCCTTGTGAGTATTGATTCGTATACAAGGAATTGTACACGGGTCTGAAAAATGTTGAGACAGGTTATTGAAAAGTGATACTGCTTTGAAGCTCGACATGAATCAATCATATTCATCAATTATGTGATACAACCTATTTATATAACTTTACTGCAGATACTATAACAACAGATACTATAACATAATTATTTTCCTTTACTATCCAAACTCCCCATTTTCAATTGAAATGAATGCATCCTTTCGTCAGAATTAAGTCATGGCAAATAAAGCTATTCTGGCTAACTTTTGACTAATGATTGATATTAATTATGTTCTTCACAAAATGTTACTAATAATGAATGGGCAGCCAAATGATTTGGGATATTGTCACAGGTGTCCCATCAAAATGACACGTACCTCGAGTTCTTGTATTGGGCATTGAGCTCCGAGTAGACTGCACCGTTGAAGTCGCGCATTTCAACGCGTTTCTCAAAGATATTGACCGTCATCTTGAGGTGATCACGCTTTGTCTCCTCACGCCGCCGCACCATCTCCAGTATAGTTGTGGCGCGTTGCAGGTCGCGTCTGTAACGTTTCACAAAGGGAGAAATGCTAATCGAATGTACATACAAACAGGTGCTTCCTGATTATTACCGCAGCTTAAGCATCTTCTCGTAGGAGGCTTCGTCGTTTTTGCGATTCTTTCGTGTTTGCATTTTCTCAGTGCGCCGTCGAAACGCCAGGTAGGGATTATTGGAGCTGGCCCCCGGTCGGCTCTCCGTCTTGACGGTAAGTATCAGCGGATGTTGCTACAAGAGAAGACATTGGTAATCGGTAAAAGGAACTGTGTTCCGCATTTTAAGATCTTACCATCTTGAGGCGCTTGTTCAGCCAATAGTCGTACACAGATATGCTAGTCTCGTCGTCCTGATTCAGCAACGTTTTGGCCTCGTTGAGTGTAACGACCGTTTGCCCGGAGCTCTTTTCCAGCCGATCCATCATTTGTTCGAATCTCAGCTCGGTTAGCTGCAGGCGCTGCTGCTGGTTCAGCCAGTCATCGTCCGCGCTGTCCATGTCATAGTCCGGCACCTCCGTGTCCAAGCCCAGGGCTATAAAACGTCAAATGAAATTGATAATTAAACGGAGACAACTTGGACAGTTGATGAGTAATTACGCTGCATGTGTATCATTTGGCGGGGCATTTTGTAGTCCGGCGGATAATAGGCATCATAGAACGGCTGATCCGTTTGCAGAACCTCGGGCGTGGGTATGATTAGTCCAGTGCAAATGGCGCGCTGCAGATGATGCTCCTGTAAATGTGTAAATACTCATTAGCAAATCAATTTAATTGCCATTTATATTTGGATAGTTTGTTTGCAAGCAAAGCATGCGCCACCGACTTGAAGAACTCACCGACTCTTCCTCTTTTTCCATGCCGCTAGGCATTTGTGGCACAGCGCGATTGATGGCCGAATACTCTGGCAAATCGGGCAGCTCCTCCGCCAAGTAGATGGGCATCTGCTTGGACGGATCCAAGTGACGTGCCCTAAACGATAGTTTCGACATTTTGTGGCTGTGGCTGTTGTTGTTTGATGTTGTGTGTTGATTGTTGTATGGAACGTTTTGCTGCTAAGTGTGTGGAATTGTTTGCTGTTGCTAATGTTGTCTGATTATTTATCTGTTTGTTGTTGTGGGTGATGGTGATAGTGGCTCTTAAGTTGCTATCGATGCTATGCAGTGGCAACTGCCAATGGCTGATCCTGCAACGATCAGTGGCAACGGCGGATTCCTACAGCAGATTCCTACAGTTTTGCCTGCTTCTGTTGCTGCTTCTTTACAGGAGCCCTTCAACAGATTCGTTGTTCTTGTTTTTGCTGCAGCTACTGTTGCTATTGTTAGCCTCGAAATTGAAGCGTCTATGGATGGAGGAGATATGCTGCTCTTAAGCTTATGTAACGACGTCAACGCTAACGCCGAGCGAGTCTTATTTGTTGCTGGACGCAGCACCGTCTGCTCTGCCTGTGCCTTTGCTTGTGCCTCCGTATGAGCACCGGGGCTGCGGTGGCAATGGCTGCTGTGCCAGCTAATATACGCAGCCCCTGTGCCCGTTTCCGTGCCCGTACCCACGTCCCGGCTCTGGATGCTGCTGGCGGCTTTTTTGTTGGAACGCCGCTTGACCACGGCTGCTGCAGTCGCTACTGCTGTATACAAAGGCGTGTCCAACGTAACTGTTGGCTTAGTTCTTGTTGTTGCTGCTGCTGGGCCGCTTCCTCTGCTGCTGCTGCTGCTGCTGCTGCTGCTGTTGCTGCTGCTGCTGCCGTCGTCGTCCGCTGCCTCTGCTGCCGTCTGCTGCTGTCGTTGCTCGTTGTATGCGAACAGCGCTGAGAGCAACAACAGGGCCAAAGAGATTAGTTTATTGCAATTACGACGACAACGCAGTGGTAGCAACAACAATAACGAGTGCAGCAATTGTGTCGACGACATTTTTCACGTTGAAATCGAAAAAATTATGTGAATTGGCATAATTACGTTGATCAATTTTGCACATTTCAGTTCATCTTTATTCTTAATAATGTTTGTTTGTTGGTATTATTGACTTCCAGTTGCGTTTTGTTGCGTTCTTGTTGCTGTTCTTGGTATTCCTGTTCTGTTAGTTGCTGCAGCTGATAAAAATCTGCAAAACAACAACAAAACAAATAAGTAAACAAACCACACGTACACACGAAACGCACACAAGCGCACCCACACTAACACAGGCACAAGCGAAACCGATTTAACAAATTGAAGCGCGCGCGGGAAATTTATTTTGAGCCGTGTTTTCATTTGCAACTGCACAACACACACACACACACGCGTTTAAAGCAATATATATATACAAATACTCCTACGCAAAACACTCACAGACATGCACGCATAATTTTGTTATTGTCTGACGCTCTTGAGAACATGAGATCGTCAATTTGTTGTTGACAAAACGTATGAATCATTTTCATTCTGAAACCCGCAATTTTTCAGTGTGTGAAATGAATAATAAAGAAGAGCTGTAGTTGCGTATAAAACACTCGAAAAATGCAAAATCATAGGGAACGCGAGAAGATAGAAGCAGAAAAAGCCGCGCCGCCGATGCGAGCGTAAAAAAGGCGGCATAAACAAACACACTCGCGGCGAGTTCGCCCAAACAAACGCGGCGAATTGCACGAAGAAAAAACACGAAGCCTATCTGCAAAATACGACGAAAAAAACGTAGCACTTCATGTGGGTTTTGTTTTTTGCAATTATTTGCCAAAGCATTAATATATTCCAGCGGCGGTATTTTTTATACCGTTTTAATTATTTTTTAGCACACTTTACCGCGCTTTTCACACACCTGCACGCACAATTTTGTTGATAATTCGTAAAAAAATTTACACAAATTTCACGAATTTTGCGTATAGCGTGGTTTTGCTGGAAGCAGTAATGGCGGCCAGAGCCGAAGAGAAACGACGGCGCGTAGCATTTCCAGGCCGCGAATTGTTTGTTTGCAACATCGGCGTTCTTTAAAATCGGCTATAGCGCAACGATAACAAATATTATCTACATAACATTAAAACTAATCATTAAATACATGCAGAAAAAATAATTTGGCACCACAATTAAATTAGTTTGTTATTTATTAGCCTGGTGCACAAAAAAACAAAAGTTATCGGCGGAGCGAACAACGGCGTTAAGATCTGATAGCACGGCATAGAACTCTGCGACTCCGAAGCGTGTACTAGTACCGCCCTCTAGCGAGCTGCACTCGAAAAAGAGGCAAGAGCAGCGAAAAGTTTTTTTCACAAACAAAAAAATCGATTTACATTTTTCACGCACATTCTTTTGCACTTTTATTGACTTTGACAAGTCGGAATTGTGTGGAAATCATGTGCTTCCACTGTATTTTTGTTTTCCGCAGCGAAACAAGCAATATTTTGACAGTTTCGTCAACAAAAACGTTTGAAATTGTTTTTCTTCTGCGGACACGTTTTTACTTAATGGCGGGCGGCCATCACGAATTGATACTAAAGTGTTTTCGGAGTTGAACGCTTGTCGTAATGCTATGGAAATTATTTTGGGTAGCTTAGATTGTGTTGCATTTGACGAATTTGAATGGGGTTTGCGCTGAAAATTTCAGAATTAAATTCTACATTTAATGCATACAACAGGAGCATATGTAACCACTGCATTTGTCCAAAAATTGTTATTATTTTGTAAGACCAGCGGGCAGCATTTACCAGCGGCCTAGTGATGAGATCAACATCAGTTTAACGATATATCGATTAAAACGATTCAATCGATTACCTCGTTTTTTAGTTGACGAAATACTTAACGAAATATGGCTCTCCCACGATATCGTTTCCGATCATTTAAAGCCCGCGTTAACTTAAGTTTTAATTTTTGTTTAGATTTAAGTTATTTTGCTGCGTGACACCCTTAACTGTATAATTGTGTCAGAATAATGTGAAATTAAATAGAGTTCGCGTAGTGCTGCCAATAAAGTTAATAAACGAATGGGAAAATGTTTATGGAATTAAAAATAATGTTCATAAAATAATTTGGAAAATTTTAAAGTGTTGCCCATTTCAGCATTTTAGTAAGTTGTTAGCTTAACATACCAATGTATATATTTTAAAGAATCCAAAGTGCTGCCAACAAAATTAAAAGACTGAATTGAATTCGATTGGATGAATTTTTATGAATTAAATTGACAGTGCTGCCAAGTTAATCATTATCCGTGTCGAAGCTATTTTATCCTCTTAGGATACAGTCAGAGCACTGGAGTTGTAGCGACACGTTAGGTTTACATACTACTTATTGAGTATATTGACTTATTATTGCGAGGTCAATATAGCCATATCAGACTGTAAGGAAAAATAGGCATGAAAATGTCTGTATGTATTCTGCTTGCCGCTGCAAGCAGTCCAGATGTGTGTAAGAACTGCCCGAATCGCACTACTGTATCATTTAGCTTTCATTGGCAGAGAGGCAATAAGCTTTTGTCATGCACGCAACAGCAAGGAAATGTCCTCAGGGGTGATAGCAAACAGCTTCTGTCAGCTATTGAATGTTATTGATTGATAATAAACAATATTGATTAATATGATAATATGTTCCTGTTCCTGTTCCGTCCCTGAAGATTGCACAAATCTTTGCTTACATTATCTGTTTCACGATGAGGAATAACATCCCGGGCTGTATATTTATTTTAGGCAGCTAAATCATTCCCAATGAAAACGAGAAAAATCACATTATTTGCGCTTTATTTGTAAAAAGTAATAAATACTTAGTCAAGTTTTCCGCAGCCGCCTTTCTCAAATTGTTTTTAATCGCTGTTAAGGTACTTTAATAATAACATAACATAATATGTAAAGAATACATCAAAACAACTCTGATTTCTGATCAGCATGGTACTTATAAAGTAACCGTTTAATAAATATAAATGATGCCTTGAGAAACTCTTATACAATAATGTAATTTTGGGCTGAGTCGGGATAATTATAAGTGTTTCAAAAGCTGATTTGTATTTTTTTTTTTGATTAATTATATGTTTTACATTCATAATGTTCAACACTTACATTAGTTAAGATCTTAACAAGGAGTATCGCAAATTTGCAAAAGTTTAAGGACTTGGGCAAAACAAATCAAATTAAATGGAAAGCGTATTTATATTTAAGACTTGATTGCTTTAAGAAATAAAAAGCTTTTTGGTGTTCAAATAGCCCCTTAAAAGCAGTTAAAAGCCTTAAAGCTCGTCCTCGTTTGTTGTTCTGTTGATGGGCAGCACTGGCTCCACAGTTGATTCTGCCATTCTTCTTGTTGTCAATGCCCAATCTGATGATGCTGCTGTTGTTGCTGCTGCTGCTGCTGCTGTTGCTGCTGCTGATGTTTTGATTACGTCGCAAGGACGTACACATATTATACATACAAAGGTGGCTGGCCCTGTGGCAGAGTGCGCTCGGCTTGCACTGGCATGACGCCAGCAGACACACACACACAGGCACAGGGCTAAGCCGACGGAATGCAGTTGCTCGCAAATGTGCGCGCGCAGATTGCCCACAATCGCCATATACATATGTATGTATGCACATACAAGTGTGGCGATTGTGGAGCAGCTGTCGCGCCATTGCGGCCACTGTCATGGTTTGCGATGGCGTACATGATGAAAAAATTTAAGTCAGACAGTGGTGGCGTATGTGAAAAAGCACCATAGCGTTTAACGGTAGTTGTAATGGAGAAGCGCGTCTCCCAAGTGGGAGAGCGAAAGCACGACAAGCAGCAGCTGCGTGAGAGAGCTTTTTCGCCTATCCAAGCCGACAAAAAACAATCCCGCACACTGTTACGCCTGTGCAGCTGTTACACACTGCCAGCTAGAGGGCGGGAGAGAGAGAGAGAGAGAAAGAGAGGTAGGGAGAGACACAAGCGACTGAGTGCTTATGAATTGAGCAAAATGAGGAACTGAGCGCAGGCCTTCGACCAGTACATGCATGAGCATATGTATATATGCGTACACAGTCTGCCGATATGTGTATGTATGTTTGTACGAATGTATGTATGAATGTAGGCATGTACATACATATGTACATATGATTGTGATTATCGAAAACAAACCAAAATATATGGAAAAACTGATGATTGGAAAGAAAGCGGCTCGGGCTCGTCTCAGGATTTGTGAATGAACTGAACTTAGGAAACAAAAAGTAGACTTTTAAGGAAATGTTGGTTTTTCTCAAGTTCGTTTTTGTTGGTTTTTCTTTTACAATATTCAACAACCAATACCAATATTCTTAAAATGGCAACTGCTATATTGGTAAAGTCTTTGATATTAATTTAGTGCTTTTTGTATTGTGAGGAATTTATGGATCATAAATGGCAAACAAAAAAAACGGGACTATTTGCGGCCTCTAATATGGCACAGTAATAATTAAGATTGCATTAAAAACGCGCCTAGCATAGTAAAAATTTACGATAGATTTATGAGAACTGCTTGGGCTATGGCTAAGACTAGACTGTATTGTGCTTCTAGATCTTGTAGGGTTTCCCAATTATTAACTGGTTCGATATGCACTTGAAACGGATGGAACTTTTGCTATACCCACACAATTGTTGGCTAAAGTATCGACTAGGTTAATTGGTATCTAATGTGGATATATACATTTGTGGCCCCTTCGTGCTGGCCAACTTTGAATGAGTATATTTACATCCATTCCTGATCCGATTCCAATCCCAATCCCAATCCCAATCCCAGTAACGAGTGCATATCTCATTTGGAACGTGATTTGTTGTGTTGTTGCTTTAACTAAACAACGGAGGTGTCTAATTAGAGTTCTATGTTTGTGAAGTATAGATTAGTAGAAAGACTGTTAAAGAAAAGAGAGTTTCGAGAATAGAGCTAATCAGAGTATGTATATAGATAAAGATAAATATATATATAGAGCGAGAGAGAGAGAGAGAGAGAGAGAGAGAGTGTGTGTGTGAGAGAGAGAGCGAGAGAGGAACAGATTCAGAGAGATGTTTAACTACAAAAAGTACTAAACTAAAATGATATTATATATTTTTCATTTTGCACTACAAATTTGTGTATGGTGATTGCATTTCTTGTAATTGATGCAAATAAATTTGGTTCGTTAATTTGTTAAAAACTTTGAAACGCATTAACTTTCAATCAAATACTGGTTATAAGAATATTGTCCACATTCACAAACCGAAATTGTTTAAATATATATGTATTTTTATATGTTTATATTATATGTATATTATAGTCAAAGAAACCAACATACCACAAAACATAAATAGATAAACGAAGAATAAATGAACTATACAAAAACCAAAGGTTTTCCAAGTGTCAGATGAATTTGGTTTCCAAATTTCGGGGACCTGATAGTGTACTACGCCGAGAATGGGGTCCCCGTTTGGACCTGAACTCGAGTCCTTGCAGTACCAACTCGACAGGCGATCGAAATGAGAGAATGGTGCTACGTGGGGACTTACCTTAGGGAGACTGGGGGAAGTTGCGGGGCGTATGGCTAGGCTATATTGTAAAGAGCATGCTCCACGCTTGGACGGAGATGAGTTGTTTAAGCTTTCAAGCATGTCCTGATGTTGTTTGTTGTTTGTTTTTACAAGAATAATTAGTATAGCAGGTTAGTAACTAAAGCCAGCACTAAAGTATATTACAAATGTAAGGTGCAGTTGAGAAAGTTGATCTAGGTGATGTGAAATAAGGCAAAGTTGAGAGTTGAAGTAAATTTCAAAATGAGTATAGCAAATACATACACATACATATGCAGCATGTACATAGGCATGTATGTGGTAAAAATGTTTATTTCTGATAAGCCAATTTTCTATTACATAAATGAAAATTCGAAATTTTTATTTTTTGTTTTTTGGTTTTTTTTACGCCTAGAATACAAATTCAAGTTCTCATAATTATAATTATGTGTAAAGAAAAATAAATCATAAGCTATATTTAACTATGTATAAGTACATAAATGATTTGAGATTTTCTTTTAAAACTATCACTAGCATGAATAACAAAAAGAGCAGGGCAGCAGAGTCGGGCTGCCCGACTGCGCAACACCCTGTACACACAGCCCCGTCTTCAATGTTCCAATTCAAAATTTTAGCAACAACTTGTTGTAAACTTCGAATCGTTCGAGCTGTTGTATACAGGGTGTTCTTGGGGGCTACTTACTGGCTAATTATCACTTTTTGAATAACAAACCAAAGAGAGTGAAATCAATAGGAATCTTTATACAGGAGCTAAGCGACTACTGGGCCTGGACATTGAACTTAAATTGGTGTGGCGTGTCTAGGTACTCCTGGAGAGAAAGTATTTGTGATATGATTGGACATAGATCTTAGCTTAGTGATTAGAGATTAGATAGAGTAAGAGTAAAGTTACGTTATGCATATGGAGTTCTTGACGTTTGGAATAAACTTGATGAGCAAATTTCATTTGAGTTAATGCGGCAATTGACAAGCATACTTCAGACTTGACCATTGCACAATACTTTATCTTTCCTTTTTCTTTACGATTTCAATTTCAAATTAAATTTCAATTTCCATTAGTTCCGATTCAATGTGGGCACTCTGATATATACAAAACGAAATTTATACATTTGCTTAGGTATGTATTCTATGCCAAGTTAATTACTAGGCTTACTTATGGTACATATGTATGATAAATGTGTGACTCATTTCATTGGGACTCTATAAATGTAAGTAACAAAATTTGAAGAAATGTAACTACAGATACGAGTACCTACTTAAGCGCTACATGCTTTAGCATTAACAACATGCATTTCAAATAGTAGTTCATATCATTGATGGATCTCGAGTACCAAACATTCCAAGTACCAAGAACCAGGCACACGGTACCAAGTACCAAGTACCAAGTACCAATTATTAATGTAATTATGCTTTCGGGCAAGTGCAACAAGCTCGCATTTTGATTCATTGGACTGTGGTAATATAGTATATAGTATATAAGTAAGAGAGTCGTATGCAGAACTTCTTCATGTAGAAGTCTTATATGCATCGGCATTCATTGGGGCCCCCTTTGGGGGGCGTCTTTTAAATGTGTGTATGTGTGTGTGTGTGTGTGTGCAGTCAAAACTTTCGATCTACTCGTTGAATATTAATTACTTGATAATAACTGTGCTTGCAGAACGAAAATCAACATCATTTACATTTGGTTGAAATGCGAAACTTAAATAATCAGAACTTGACTACAAATCAATTTCAACTAATGTGTAAATGTGTGTGTGTGAGTGTGTTGGGCATGATATCTATAGAGTGTATGTCTCGTGTCTAGGTGTAACTCTATGTACTTTTTAACGCTTCTCTGGGTTTAACGAATGCCCTGCAATCTGAGTTTAGATGTCGATCTATCTGGGCACAAACTTAGCTAGCAGTATTAGCCATGGCATTGTGATGAGCATGAGATGTTGATAACCGTTTGCGAATGAGTATAAACTTTTACTAGAATTGCACATATCTTCCTCACAAAAGCACATATGTCCATTGCCTGAACTTTCCATCATGCACACGTGATCGACCATGAATAAATTGATTTGTAACTGTGACGTACACATGCGTCGCACCACCTCGTAGGCTGTAAGACAAGGACATGTATAAGGGCGTATCCTGGCATATCGATGCCCTTGCATGTGTCTAGCATCGGTTGCGACAAGGATGTGCCTCCCTAATATGCAGCTACTTACGTGATCTCTGGTGTCGCACCATTTTCACACAGCAGCCATTGCAGGTCATCAGGGGCGGCTGATCGCGGGGCAGGGCCGTGTAGTTGAAGGGGTCCTTGCAGCGCGCATCCGTCCAGGAATCGCACTCGTAGCAATAGATAGAACGCGCTGCAGTATAAAGCACACAATACATTTATTACCTTTGAGCCCAAAATCAGTCTCAAATGGATTCGCCTGCTGCTCTGCTTAGGACTACTCGACTAAGATGCAGCAACGCAAGACTCTACGGATTAACTCAATATAGAACACGTTATGTACACAAGCACAAAAGCATGCAAAAGTCTTTGTACTTTGAACTTTAGTACAAATGAAAAACAAGCACAGTGAAAAGCACTAAACTAGTTAAACAGCATCTATGTGCTTGAGGTGCTTGTTTGATGCTGTTTCTGCTTAAAATGTGGCTTAATAATTAATATTATTGTTAATTAAACTTGATATTAGTTGGACACAAGCATGATTAACTGGCAGTCAACGAAATTAAAATGAAATGTGCAACAAGTTGGCATGTGCTGCATATATAAATAGTTGTAGATGTAGATATAGATATAGTATCTATAAACTCGCAAGACACGCTTCAAACTACTAATTCTCTTGATTATCTACTATCTGGATGCATATATAATCGCCTGCCGAACATTAGGGGCTGATGAATGAAACACCTGCAAATATTTGCAACCTTTGTGCCTTTGCTTAATGAATAACTTGAAGGGAAATTCAGAAACAAAGATCAAAGATAATTATGAAATGTGTAAAAATAGTGAAAGGAATATCGAAAACAATACGAATTTTGAATTTACTACAATATATATTATGGAACATCTGTAGATGCTCGCATTACATATAGAGGAATGTTTCATTTAGCTTTAATGAAATGATTCTGAGTCCTGATACTAACATGTAAAATTGTATATTTCAATCAGATAATAATTTTAAAGATCGACAGAACTGAATGTTTCATAGGTGCAAACAGATGTGTTATGTGCTTTAAGGAATAGCCGAATCTAGAGTGAAAGACGTGCAAGTGCTAAAAATATTATCTAAAATCGTAAAGGACTATAGTTGGTATTGTTCTCGACATGCAGGCACACAGAAAACCTACACATTGAATAAAAGCATACACACACACAGAGAAAAACAGGTAAGAGATAAATAGTTGCAAGTTGGAAAAGAAAATAGAAAAGTAAGACTCTGGTTGAGCAAGTGGGGCAAACTCGTCCCTTGGTGAAATCGGATAAATATAGTAGAATAAGGCTTTGGGTTCTTGAGAAAAACGGAAAAACGGAAGAGTCTAAATTGAAGCAATTGTCAAATTGTTTTGAAAACGATTTGGTTTGGCATAAATCAAAAGAGACTGAGCGTTAATTATTGAGGCATCAAAACATTTATAGACAAATAGTGGCATATGCACAGAGCCTATCTGAACAAAATGCCGATTAGGAAAATATCTGGACTCTCGTACACTTGAGTAAATCAATTTAAGTGTTACAAATAGAATATACATATACTTATGCATGACTTTGATATTAATAATTTGTTTGTTTTTGTTTTTCTTATCGTTTTTGCAAAAAGGTTATTATAGGTATATTTAAGCGTTTGTATATAGGCAGAGGATCAATGGATTCATACTTTGACATTCGGCTGAGGCTGATGGAATCCATACAAAAGTCAGAAATCCAAATATGGCTGCAAATAAACAATAAAAGGAAGAGCAAAGTAGAAGACAGGAAGATGAAAATGAAATACAAAGTTGCGTGAAAAGGTTGGAAATTAGACACATTTACAAAGGACATCTGCATGAACCATATTCAATGGAATGGTTAAACTGGATTCGACAATTCGATGAAAAGAGTGCAAAATAAATATCTCGACACGTCTTCATCACAATATTTCACAAAACATACATCAAGGCCAGGGAAGAATATTAAAAAAAAAAAAACAAAATAAAGATAAAATAAAATTAAATAAGTTTTATGCAAAAATCAAATTGGGGTTAGCTTGGAAATAAACAAATTGCGCCAATTCAAGGACAGACCATCCAATTGTTATATGCTGTGTGAAATCTTAAGCCTTGTACCATTCCATGGAAATGGCTGTGCATGCAATAGAACTTGGACGGGAATATACAAACTCAGTTAGGAAAACCTCACCTACGAGTAAACTGGAGTATAATTAGCTAGAGTGGAGTGTGGAGTGTGGAGTGTGAGAGCAGCTGTCGAGGACGAGGGGGTTTTTACACAGTTTGGTTAACAGTTAGGCTTACAAATATCTATACATAGTACATGGTAAAGTTTGTAATGCATTTGTACAGTGTGTCATACGAGTCGTCCTCCACTTGCGAGGCTTTATGCAAGACATGTTACAAGCACGACACAGTTGTGACAATATCGCACTCTCAATGCAGGACGCAGGACGTGTGTGTTGTATAGAGACGACTGTCAATGCGAGTAATCGATAGGAACAGCAGCACGTATCAAACTAAAACCAAACTCAATACTGAATACAACCGAACGCAACCAACTGATGTGGCATTTACGAATTACGAGTATTTTACAGGGTATTTCGAGTATTTGGCTGCCTTAACCCTGCCTTATGCACGCGTGCAGATGCCGAGATGCATTTTGCTTTAACTTTTCCAAATGATATCAATTCTTTAGTATTCAAAACTCTCTTCTTAACAAGAAAAAGTATGGAGTCTAAGAATCCTTATATTTATTATCACTTTACTTGTCTATTAAAAGAAATAATCCAAGTTAATATAAACATGTTTTGTTTGAACATTGATTAATTTTATTATTGACAGCTTTTTTATTATTCAGTTTGGTCTGAAAACAAACAATTTCTTTTAGATTATTTATTTTTTGCAAGAGCAATCTGCAAGCGTGTTCAGGCTGTGGCTGGCCAGAGAAAATGGTTTTTTATTTGTTGTTAAATGTTTAATTTTAGTAAGAGTACAAAACTAAATAAAATGCACAATTAGTTTAGTACAAACGCAAAAGTATTTGAAACCATATGCAAAACAGAATTTAAACGCACGTCGCAATTTTGAAACGAAACTGAAACTTACTTGGAAAACAATTATCAGCTGTACCGAATTTTGCCAATGCCAAAATAACTTTTGTACAATTTTACATACGCATCGAGAAAATTTGTGGAAACGAAATTTGTAAATTAATTGCCTTTGGAAAATGAATACAATTTTTACATCTAATTAAGAAAATAATCTCTTATTTCTCTCTGTTATTCTACAGCATTTTTATTTTGTTATTGTATTTATTTGTTTCCGCTTGTTCTTTATTATTTGCTTTTCTATTAGCATGTCACATCGCACATCGCGCATACGACCCGTTGGCCGTCCGTTTTTTCTTTGCGTATGTGAATGCGCACATGCATGTATGTGCATGTGTGTGTGTGTGTGTGTGTGGCACATAGCTTGACTGTCTAGCTATTAATATACTTCACAAGTTCTATATCGGTCCACGATTGTTGTTAAAATAAAAACAAGAGCCTGCCTCTTGTGGTCGTTGGGCATTGTTCGATTTGATTGCTAGATAACTCGTAAATAATTTGTGTGGTCTTTGAAGCGCCTCGTGTCTGCCTTCGATTTGGCTAATAAAAAGTCACGGCTCATAAACCAGCTGCTTTTGCTGAGTATTAATACTTAATCATAATCGTACTGGACTCGAAATGGAATTCTTACCTGTCAAGGCCAGCAGCCACTGTCTGGCTGCGTTTTCTTTAGTCCACATTGTGATGGAGAGGTTCGCTCCCTAATTCTGCAATAATTACAAATGTATATGAAAACTGGGTATTATTAATAATATAGGTTTGTCCCATACCTGGCTGATTCGACACGATTACGACTCTGAGTGGAAGCGCTTAGCCTGTCTCGGCATAGAAACGCTCAAGTTTACAGCTCGGCAACTGCATAACTTCCTGGGTATTACGACATCGCAGCTAAAACGGCAGAATCGGGCTATAAGATATAGATATTTACTATCTAACTTACAAATTTCACTTGTTGGAAAAAAATGTTGAATTTATTAAACTGTTGCTGAAGCATTTATGTACGTAAAGGTAAATTTGAGTTAAATAGACGATTTTCTGTATTTGATATGAAACGTCTCTAGATCAATTTTATGATTATCTAGATTAGCAAAATATCAATCAGTCAAATAGAGGGCAAAACATGCTTTGTCTGAACTTATGAATATTACTTGCAGGAAATGTTAACGCTTCAAGAAATATCTTTGCAAAGTCGAAATACCATGACACACCCATACCCAGACATTCTAAAATAGATCAAAATAAACTAATTTGTATTATCTACAATATTTAAGACTAGCTTTACGAATGCATGTTACAATGGTTCCCGATTCCCAATATAATGCCAAACATTCGAAATCTTGGTTTAACTTTGGATAGATGACCTACTTGGGAAACCGACAACCGGCTAGTTGCCGAAATTTCAAGAACTAAAGCACGTTAGCTTGACAGGCTCCTAGGACAAAAGGACATATGCATGATGCTATTGTTTATTCTATAACCTTATACGTGTACATGGGAAGACAGCACAAATTGAAGTGTATTTGAACCAAAAATGATAGAAAAATGCATTTTCAAGCAAGTTTATTGAAGACATGAACCATAAATTTAAGTCTGAAAAGATGATTCGTGAATTTCCTCTTCACTGGCCTCTAACATGCGTACGTCACAGCTCGAACAATTACATACATAAATATATTTATAGATATTCGTATAAATATATTAAAATACATATACAGGAATATATAAATGGAAAGTGAACTATTAATAGCAATGCATAACCTCTAATAAGTGTTCTAGGTCAATGTGTGAGACCATGTCATGGCTGCTGCTGATGTCAATAGAGTGTGGAAAATCATTGAACCCACATAATGAGCTCAATCTATATATATATTATTTATGTAGATATGCAAAGTGTGGTATAATAAGTCTGTGCAAATGTATGTAACAGACTGGAAGATGCATCCCCCGCCCCATATCCCCGAAATTGACAGCTCGAAATTAATGCAGAGACCCGGTTTTCGGAGCATTTGGTAAATGGGTTCTGACATAGTTAATGTCTATATAAGACCTGGCATATTTATATTTAATGAGAACTCAATGAGATGCACATTCAAAAAACCAGAATAAAATCTAATCATAAGGAGCTATGCGCTTTGATTCTGGGTTAAGTTGTAAGGATTTTGGGTCTTAAGGCATATTCTTCTAAGACAAATCGAAAATCCGGCCCACCAAGGGTTATGTAGCATATAAAACATGTTTTAATCTTTAATTACTTTTATGCGATGAAAGTAATAAATCGCACCGGAAATAAATGCAGAAGTCTGGACTTGACGATGAATTTACCCTTGTTAAATATTGACTATCAAAACCTAATATAATTTTTGAAATTATTTTACGTACTTTTGGTAAATGTTACAAATATTTTCAGCGTCTTACTTGATCGATAAAGTTATCCCATTTTAAAAAACAATTGGCAAATGAAATAGTTAAAATTGAATAAAATATTGTCGGTTCGCTCACTTGCAGACACTTAAATTTGCATTTATATTGATGACATGCGGAATTGACATTGTTTGTTTTGCATATTTACACCGAACGTTGGCAGAATGTCAGAAATAATGCGGCAATGTGTGCGTGTGGGTGTGCGAGTGTGGGAGCATGTGTGTGTATGACACAGTGCGTCGAGACTGCACAAGAATGTCGCACATTTGTTTATTGACAGATTTTGGGTTAAGGTTTGTTCTTTATTTAGCCACTCAAAAGTATTATTTAAACTTTTTATATCGGAAAATTGGTTGATTTATGGCAACAAGTGTGCCCACACACACACACACACACACACACATACGTGTGTAAGTGGCAGCTATAGGATGTGCTGCCATGGCAAAGCGTGTGATTAGCAAAGTGTTTAATTATTTGGTGCAGTTAAATACATAAATGTTTGTTATTGCCGTCTCTGATTGCCGGTTATTAGGAAAGCGCCGCGCAGTCACAGCTGAGATGTAAGGCAGGCGAGCGAATAGAGCGAGAGCCAATGTAAACAACACGCACACAGCTGCAACTCTTACTCGCACTCGCACTCACACTCGCACTCGCACTCTCACTCTCTGTTCCTCTCTCTTTGCACATATTCGTTTGCGCTCTCCCGCTCTCTATGCACGCTCTCACACTGTGCGCTGCCTTAATGGGGCTGCGTGTTGCCTTTTTACACGCACTTTAACTTTTTGGTTTTGTCAAACGAGGTTTTTAATAGCATTCGACTTTAAGATGGTGGATAAATAAAACTTGTATTACCTTTAGCACTTGCACAGGCTTTTATTGATTAACACTGTCCTGCGGGCTGGTTCAGTTGTCGCAGTTGTCGGTGCGGTGCGCAGGTGTTTGCATAATATATGTGGGCAGAAATCGATTCAGCACACAAAGTGGGCCAAACAAATCCTAATGCAATTCACACTCGTAAATAGCACACAGCGCGTTTATTTTGGCCGTTTGCCTTTGCTTTTTGACCTGGCTGGCGGATGACATGCTCACAATTGCAAGGCTGTTGGCTTTAACAGCTTGAATTTGTATTGATTGGCGACCTTTGGGCTGATCAACATTTCTTTTGCCGCACTCAACACAACCTATTTGTTTTGAATACCGTTAAGTTTGACTTCTTATTACTTTATTGCTGATTTTCACAGATTATTTTAATTTAAGTTTTGTGGTCTCGTTTTCTTTTTTCTTGAATTTAGAGGCGACGGTTGTGTCTTTTACGCTATCAGCCAACACGCAACGACATCAACTGAGGCAATGCGCTACATTTTTCGATTTTTCCACAGTTTCTCCCGATTTTGGCGCATGTCATTTAGTGGCTATTTTCAAACACTATTTGCGTTCGTGCATATTCAACTGTTTAGCTTTTGGCGCCAACAAGATGCAGTGTTGGCAAATGCTACAAAAAGCTCCAAATATATAAATGTTAGCTTTCAAACGGTTATTCGAGGCGTAGCACAAACCGCTTGTTGTTTTAATAAAAAAAAAAGTATAAATACGTAAACACTTGTATATCTATTTATGTATTTACCATTCATAATTAAACGACTTCACATTGTTTTCAAATTACCGATTGAAATTTGTGTTGCTTACGAACAGATGATTTATATTTTAACAGTGCGTTAACAACGCACTGTTAACATAACATAACTTAACCTTGTATCATAACATAACATAACCTTAACATAAGCTGTTAAGTACCCGCGAAATTAGAAGTATTTGTCGTATAACGTTTTGCGCCAAGTCGTCTTTACTTATTAAATATGTAAAAAGCTACATTTTATTTTCTTGGCTAATGCATTAGTTAGTTTAATATAAGCATATATGCATGTGTGGTAAGGATTAAACGTAGGCAAATTGGAGAGATTTCTGCGATGCATCTTAATTCCGTTTCCAACCATTTCGACATTTTCGATAAGAATAGATACGGTTTTTTGTTCGATTTCGAATATTCAACTTGTTGTAATTTCGTGATAATTATCTTTATTATGAACGCTCGTATATATAGTATAAGAAGTTTGTTGAATTGGCGTTAAGCACAGCTTAAATTAGGTATTAGTTTAAAAATGGGTGTTGCATAAATAATTACATAAATACTCGTACGTACAAAAATTAACACGTATACGGAAAATTATTCAAGATTACAACGAAACGGAATCAATTCCAATTCTTGTGAGCATTTGCCTTTCGACTCGCAGGATTCGAGTGGACCCGATGTGATGCAGGCTACAGAAGCAGGATATCATCTTAAGCATAGTCGCGTGATCCTTCCAGTTTGCGCAGCTGTGGGATGAGAGTTGGGGGGAAAATGTTAAATGGAACTGTTTTCCAGCACGAATTTCACTTGGTAACTTATTTACACTGATTAATTTGAGAGTGTGTGAGTGTTTGTGGGTGTGTGTGTGTACGTGTGTGTGTGTGTGGATGTGTGTTTGTGGATGTTTCAGGTGTCTCGTTGTTGTTTCAATAGAAACTCTTATCGTGCCAAGCCGCAAAAGCTCTCACCTCACGTTCGTCGGCATGCGTGCGATATTTCTCGGCGACCTCGTTGCTCTTGGGTGGAGTCTTCGCCTCCAGCACCTGAGTGTAGAGCAGAGCAGCCGTCACGCCGCCCAGCACTGGTCCGACCCAGTAGACCCAGTGGGCGTTCCAGTTGTTGGTGGCAAAGGCCGTGCCCACAGTGCGAGCCGGATTCATGCTGGCGCCCGTGTACTGAATAGTGCCCAGGTGTCCCAAGGTGACGGCCATGCCGATGGCCAGTGGCGCCGTGTAGCGAGAGTCCGGCTTGTTGGCATCGCAGGCGCCGAACACGGTCAGCACCAGAACTAGGCCCAGGAAGAACTCAATGCCCAGACCCTGCAGCTCGGAAATGTTGTGGGCCAAGCTGGTGTGGCCCAGACCGTTGTGATATAGCGGATCGAGAAGGATCTGCAGAGACAAGGAGGCTTAGTTTGGCTACCTTGAACAATGAATCGGAACTCACCTTGACAGCAGCCGTGCCGGCAATGGCACCCAGGCACTGGAAGACTATATAGAAGACCGCTCGAAGTACGCTGATTCGGCCTGCTATGAGCATGGCCAGGGTCACGGCGGGATTGACGTGACCGCCGCTCAGATGGCCCACGATCTGAAGGAAATGCAGGATGTGGATTTAGTTGCCAAGTGGGTCGGTTCCCTCGGCTGTACTTACAGTGATGGCCATGAAGACACCCAGTCCAAAGGCCAGCGCCTTGAAGGTGCCATCCTCTGGCTGCGTGCAGGCGCCACAGGCGAAAAAGTTCAATATCAGATTGCCAATGAACTCGCCGACAAGCGCTTGCCACAGGCGCAGCTCCTTGGACTTGAACTCATTGAGGCCCAGCGAGTACTCGAACTTGCCCATCTTCTCCAGATGCCGATCGGCCAGACAATGACGCGCTGCAAGACACAGACAGAAGCCGGAGCCTATTAATTATGGAAGTGAACAATTGTCGGACACGGGCCGTCCAAGTGGGCGATGACCGCATTTGAATGCAGCTCTTAATACGGGCCCGACTACAGTCTGGACGTGGCCAGTGTAATGCGAATGGGTAATATCTATGAGTCGACGATGACAGCCACTTCCGCTGGATGACATCGTCGACATGGCACCTAATTGGTTATCCGACACCTTCACAGCTACTGCCAATTGACTTGGATGGCAGCAAAGCATTTTAATATGCACTTTAATTCAATTTAAAATCAAAACTTAAGGAGTGCAGATATTCCAAATGAAGCTAATAATAGCTGACACAGATTGCCATTAACTGCGAGACAACCAATATGATATTGAGTACACTTCATGATGTTCATTATGTTTCATGGTACATGCTCATTGCTGCTCATTGAGCTAAAAACAGAACAATATTGGCCAAACTCATTATATCTCATATGATCTAATATTTGATTACTAAAGGGATTCCGACAAAGGACTAACTCTTCTTTGTCTGACACATGACAAGTCCTGCTTAGCTATTTCTTCAGGCAAAGGCAATATAAACACTTATTAATTCATCTAATATAATCTAATGTATTGTCTTTGGCTTAAGGTATTTTATTTGCATTGTATGTCCGTTAATGAATTACACTTCAGCTGTTAGTTTCGGGAAATTCTTAATTAATTTGAAATGTACACAGACTAGCTGTGTACATACATATGTTTTTAGTCATGCAGCGCACTTAGTAAATAAATAAGCATACTTAATTAATAATTGAGCATTAAGTAGATATTGGCCTAACTGCGTCTCGGCTTTAATCAGCTGGAGAGCTGCATTGGCAATTGGCAATTGGCAACAGGCCATAAAATCAGTGTAAATATTAAATGGCAAATATTGGCAAGAGAACGGCATTAACACTAAGCCTCAGCCTAATTGAACGCATCGCCCGGATCAGGGGATTAGCAGCCACTTCTGCATGTTGGCCAAGGCGAAGGCCCTCCCCTCTCCCCCTGACCCCTCCCCCTAGATGGCCAGATCGTCGATTCTCGGTCTTATTTGGCGCAAGTGTCGGACGCAATGCGGTCAAGAGCAGTTGCCAGCCCAAAAATGGGTTACAAGCGGTTGGCCATGCCCCCGCACATCAGAGCAACAGCAACAGACACAACAACAACAACTACAACAACAACATTCGACAATAAATGCCTGATCTACGCGTTCTAAAGTCAGAGACTTGCCATTAATATCAATGAACGATTACTCAATGCTAAATTTTAAATGAAAACTATAGACTCGAGAACAAGATTTATGTATTTTCAAGTTTTTCATCTTTTCGTTTTTTGCCTTTTTATTTGTTTTTAATTTCAATGCATGCCTTCAAAATGTTTCACTTTAATCATTTTGTATACCCTGCAATAAAATGAGTCTGAAGAACAGAAGAACCAAGAGCACAGCATAGAGACAGCGAGAGAGAGAGAGAGAGAGAGAGAGAGAGAGAGAGAGAGAGAGAGAGAGGGGTAGAGAGAGAGAGAGCGAGATATAATTAATATGTTTCAATTTTATAAAATGTATCTGATAGTGATATATAGAGTATTTGATGGCCGTGTTTCTCCTGCGCACGTTCTTTCTTTTTACCTTGGAGTGGAAGATTGTACCTATTTTATCAATATCAGACCTTTAATGTCGAGTGCTCTCTTGATATCGATGACCATTTCGCAAGTGAGTTAAATTGACTCTTAATAGATAAACGTTCGGGTTGACATCTTGTTTGGGCTTCGCCATGAATTCAACTGGTGAATTGACAAATTTAAAGTAATTTAATTGCCAGGCCGACAGCAGAAGGCGCACCCAAAAGTCTTCATTCATGTGTGTTTACCTGTGTGTGTTACCTGTGATATGCCCATGTAACAGATCTTTTCATTTGAGACAGCGACAAAAGCAAGCTCTGAGTTACGTCATGTGAGATCACTTTTGATGGATTAACATTTTATTCATGGTATAAACGCAGTTCCAGTCTTTTCCAATTAGCTCAAAACGCGACTAAGTCAAGTTCGAGGAATCTAGAAACTAGTTTTGTTCATTTTGTTTTTGGGTTTTCTTCAAAGACATTTGTCATAGCAAAAAATAGCGATTATTCACCCAAACTGCAGCTAGGAATAAAATGTTGGCAATTTACTTACATTTGATTTGCCAATTAAATATTGTACTATTGTCTGAGCGGCATTCCACGTGAAACAGGGCTGGAAAGTAACATATTTTGCGGATTTAGCAAACACCTGCCCCCAAATAGAAATATCAATTCAGTTTCTGAAGTGGCAATCCGACAACAAAAACAATGATGATAGCGTGTTCTAGTTGTAGTTATAATTAATCAGAGTAGGCTTATCTGATAATGATTGGCTTTAACAAATAATGAAATCACAAAGGCTGATAAAACATTTGCTACAGTTTCTTATGGTGCGAAGGCAATCCATGTATATTTGCCAATTCTGTCATACTCGCATTGCATTTGCGGCTCGTGCGTGATATTTTGTCGAAATGTTTGCTCAACAAATTGGCGCAAACGCCGCGAACAAAACACACAAATTAACTGAATTCTTGCACACAATGCAACAAAAGACGCCGCCGCAAATGATTCGAACACAAAATATATATCAATAATCGGAATACTGCATTCTGACACCTTCCTCCACAAAAGTCAACACTCGAGTATTTTCGAATACTTGAATAAAAAGTAAAAAAAAAACACACGCATACATTCAAATTCCAGAACCTGCACACAAAAGTTCATGAACTGTTGCAAGCCAAACGGACGCTCGCATTAAATTGAGCAAAAATAAGTAAATAAATTCATTTCAAACAAGACTCTAAACTGAATCTGCTTGGCTTGTTTTAAGCACAAAGCTTGACGTCATCTATTTGATATACTACTGAGCAGCTTGTTAAAATTTAAATAATAAAAAGAAGCAAACAAAATAAATTAAATGAAATAGGGGTAAGCGTGGGTGTCATTAAAGCTGAAAAGCTGATCTAATGTCGGATGGCTTTAGATCAATTTAAAAACCGTTATACGCATACATACAAGCTGTTATATGTTATATGAAGATCAGCCACAAACCCAAGTTCCCTAATTCCATTTCTAGAGGCTGATAGAAGCTGTTATACCATAGCTAACATAACATGCCTAGATCTGTTATACTGAAGATCAGAAAATTCTTATATTGTAAAAGAGTCAATTTCTACGGTTAAATAACACGCCTTGATATTATCATCGCATACATATGTATTCAGACTGATATACTGCAAATTAGCCGTCTGCAAAAAAGCCAATTTCTAGAAGCTGATATCATCTTCGGATACATACTATCTGTTATACTGGACATCAGCCAATTCTCACACTGTAACTGCAAAAGAGTCCATATATGGAGGCTGATATATTGCAATAATATCAACGAGAGTCCATTTCAACGGGTTATTGACATGCCTTGATATTATTGTCGCATACATACAATCTGTTATACCGATGATCAGCCAATTCTTACATTCCGACTGCAAGAGAGTACGTTGGTAGCGGCTGATGATTTGCTTTGATATCTGTTATACTGGAAATCAGCCAATTCTGAATGCTAAAAAGACCATTTCTAGAGGCTGATGACTTGCTTTGATATCATCGACGCATATATACAATCTGTTATACTGGAAATCAGCCAATTTCCACATTTTGAATGCTAAAAAGTCCGTTTCTAGAGGTTGATGACATGACTTAATATCAACGTAGCATACACACTATCTGTTATACCGAAGATCAGCCGACTGCAATAGTCCAATTCTCGAGGCTGATGACATGCTTTGATATCATCGCAACTTGTCACTTAAATAGACATAAAACACACTTAAACTCAAAACGGAAATTTGTATGCCGCGCGAAGGCTGTACCGAAATGGAGATGGAGTCAGAGATTTAAAAGGCTGAACGTACGCAAGTTTCGATCCATTAAAATCGTGTAGTAAAGTCAGGGATGAAGTATTCAGATCTGAATAACGAATAAGTCGGTGCGAATGGCATATACAAAGCACACGAATAAGTTTATTATGATTGGTTTGCCTAATTAGCTAGACAATAGAGCTGAACTTTGTGGTTATAGTATATGCTTATATTTAAATGTGAAATGTTTTTATAGTACAGTAAATTTTCGCATCATTACACGCATCGCCGCGCCCAAAGTTTTGGGGGACAGGCATATATTTATACATCTAAAGCGTAATTTCTGTGGCACCAAAATTTAATGGTGGCCATAGAAATCTGTTTTTATTTAAATATATTTTGGTGGCAATGCATCATTCTCAAATTTAACCATATCGCAACATCTAGATGGAACACACATATATACATTTTAAAAAAATTATGTGCTATGTGTTGTTTCTTGGAATAATTTGTGGCTTGTGTCTGCCTCACATACAAACATAAGTGGAAGACAATTTTGATTTCGATTTGATTTTTTATGATCTCACACGTGTGCTTCTGGTCCGAATTTCTTGTATTGTTCTGTGAGATCATTTTTGGGATTGGCGCTCGAAAGAGCGAACGGCAACAAGTAAAACGATTGCGAAGGTAAGACATGAGGTCAAAGAGGCGACAAAGCGTAGCAGAAAACATTGTAGTCGAGTAGAAGGTGGAAGGTGGAATATGTCTATTCGTAGATTTGTTAATTGGCGTATTGAAAACTCTTTGTTCTAGCATATTTGTCTATTTACCTTTTTATGTTAAATAGTTTAAGCACAGGCTTAACGGCTTCTTGACACCTCTTAATGTGCAATAAATGCCACCTTTTCAATTATGTACATAAATAAATATTTAGCAACAGCAACAGCAACAAGAACACAGTTCACTTGACTTGACGACAAAGTTCAACTTATTTGGCAGGAGTCTCTCCCCTCCGACAAATGCGATCCGCGCACTTTGACTTAATAACAAACACTGCGCGCCACGAAAATCGCAAAGCTTGAAGACGTTGAAAAAAGCAAAAAGCGGTAAGCGCTCTGCGTCGCACACTGGGCTAAGCTCATTGAAAACCTGCTCAATTATTTTGGGAAATTTATGTTTAATGAATTCATTTAGCAGCTACTTCAAAGTGTTTATTGCTGTTCTGTCATATTGGGCTATTGTTCTATGAACATAAAACATTTTAATGTGTAGTTAAAAATTGTGGCGTTTGAAGTTTCATTTATTTTTGTATTATATATATTATAAACTGCCAGCTTATCGTTGTTATTTTGTTTATTTGACAATTTGAATGCTTATTTGCTCTTGCTTGTAATCTTTTAACTACTTACTTAAGTCAGTTGGGCATTAGGAATATGTTTTTTATTGCCCCAAGCCAAGAATACAAAAATCGTATTCTCATATTCTCTTCAAGCAGTTTGCTCGTGGTTTATCTGTGCGAAGCTAAAAATAACTTCTGGTAAGGCAGAATTATTATCAATTATAAACTTAAAGGCTTAAAATGATTATTCTGTAAATAAATTATAAAGAGAAACAGTTTGCGTAAGACTACGATAACATATCCAAGGATAAGAATACACAAAACAAGCATTAATAGTTATATAGAAAATAGAAATTTTTATTTGTTTTTATGGAAAAATTTAACTTACCAGCGTTTGGATAAAATATTACCCAAATGATGAAGTTATCCTGAAGATAGGAAATTTAATATTTCCCTCTGATGACGATGAAATTTTTGTAAATATTATTAGAAACAATGTGAAGCGTTTAATTACCAAGCTCTTTCATTTATTAAAAAAAAAACAATTGTTTATTATAATAAGCTAAAAACTAAAAGACTTAAGTGCAAGATTGATTCGTCGGTAGAACGTTTTAATAATGGTAATTTATGTTGAAAATTCCCCTTATAGCCGATCTACTTCTTTATAGTAATATAAAGTTGTTTGTAAGTTGGTTTTGCGCACAACTGGCCGAAGGGCCAGGTTTTACCCATAATAATGGGATTTTGCAAGTTTTTAAGGAAATGGGAAATGGGAAATAAAAAATAACGACGTACAAAAACAGTTCCCCAAATCCGAAAAATAAGGAAATATCGAAGAAAAAAAAAAATCAATATAAATTCAAGTATACAAGAATACTTGAAATGTTCTCCAGTCTGCAGATGGACATGGCTAGTTCGTCTGGACATTCTCAAGACGAACAACATCAATAATGGGATCGGAGATCCCTCCCTTTGCCTTTTGCATACATTATCACTAAGCCAATATACCCCTTGCAATGTGTAACTAATTTAAAGAGAGTAAGAAAGTACAATAGGCTTATATAATTGTATTAAGCCGTAAATAATTGGCACAAATTGACAATTCCACTGTGCGGTGGCAGACATAGACGGAGTAAATAACTGACAGCTGAAAACAATTGGCTAAAAAGAGAGGCAGGTGGCAACAGGTGTGTGAGGGCGCGCGCGCGCCGTCGCAGTTGTTCTTAAATGTTGTAATGCTTATCAAAATGCGAGCCCAACTTGGTAGTGAGGATGGGGGTGAGGGTAGAGGGAAGAGGGTAAGAGAGTCACGCTGTGAAACGTCAATTGTGACGACAACGCGTGCAATTACTCCCAATTCGTAAGTAAATAAACATGTGCAATCAGCCACATATTGTTTTATGATCTGTTTAAATATTTAAACATTTATTGCTGCAAACACAAAATTGGTACAACGCCCAGGCCCAGGCCCAGGCCCAGTCGGATGGGGGATCGCGTGACGTTTGTGAAAAAGTTTCCGCGCTGCCCGATTTAATTTTGTGCAATTTCCATGCTGCTTATCACAAGCGAAAGCCAAACAATTCGAGCAATGTTTTGATTTCTGTTTCTAAATTAATTTAGTGCAACCATTGCGAACTTTTCCACTGTGGCGTGCCATAAATTCTGATTTACTTGCTCTGCCACATGGCCAATATTGTCACTTTCAATTCGCTTTATGGCCCGTCAGCATGACGGGGATCGCGTGTGTGGGAGGGTGCGTTAAAAGTCGATCAGATTTCAGCCTGTCAATCCCATGACATTCGACTAATTGTTGTCAAGACAAAGTAAGTAAGTATAATAATGAAAATGTACAATTATTACTTAAAATTACTTGAAATGAGCTTAACCCTAACTAAATTGTTTGGAACAATATAATCATACTTATTTCTAAGCCTGTAAATACACGCATACATATGTAAATAGAGTTTTCAGCCAAATTACAATCGAACTGCACGCTCTATAAAGTGCAGCATACTTTTATGAGGTGTCATAAATTGGAAATGGTTTGAGTCTCGGGCTTGTGTGTTTACCGACTAATTTCCTTCGGATTAGGTAATTACAGTCGAAACATAAAGTTTGCAGGATAAGTTCGTAATCTAACGAAATGACAAAATTTCGCATATAACTAAACAAACAAAAACAAAGCTTTTAACTTGTAATGTTATATTTATGAGTAGGAGACATACATATGGCACACATAAAGTTGGTTGTTAGTCACATATAAAAAAGGTACTAAAGAAAATATGTGGAAATGGGAAGTACCCACCCATTCTGCAGTCGGAGCTCAAGCTGACTTTTCATTATTCAAATTTATGCTTTGTTCGCAGCACATTTGACATGTGGCTAGGACAACGCCCAGTTGAGTGCCAGGACGAGCGTCCTTGAACTTTGAGGCTCAGCATGACGGAGCACTATATTTGCATGCCTACTCCCCACGAACCCCTAGGGCTGCGGCTGATTAAATAGGCTATGGAACTACACCCCTGGGCAAGGATGTGGCATGGATCGGGATGTGAATGACTCTTGTGGGGGTATGACAAATGAAAAGCCGGATATATAACACAGAAGGGGGTCCAATCAATTAAACAAATTGAACATAAAGTGCGCGCCAAAAGAAGTTTCGAGTACCGTGCGGAAGCTAGTTTAAATGACATGCTGCTCACAGCTTTCTGGCCATTAAATGGCAACAGTTGAATGAGTTCACATTAGCAAAGCTGCCGCTTATCAGCTGCCCCAAACATATTTCCATCAATTTAACGTTCTCATTCCCATTCCCAATCCCATTTCCGAGCTAATGGAGCACGTACGAACTCTGCCCAAGTTGCGAAAACAAAAGGCGCCGGCCGCCTGCAAAAAGTTAACTAGCAAAAAAAAAAACTGAAATAAAATGAAATAGCGATATTAAGCTGAAAATTGAAATACTGTTCTCGGCATTCGGCTGAGCAAATACGAGTATTTCTGTACAACAATTAAATAAACACAAATGGCGAATTTTGAGCTAGACAAAAGCCAACACACGCACTTGACGGTGTCAATCAATTCGCGTTTGAACTCAAGTGTTCGGCTCTAAGAGTTAAAACTTAAAAAGCCAAAAAAAAAAAGCTAATACCAAAATTCTTAATTGCCTGCAATTTTGGCCGCGCACGCGTCTCGTTGGCAGGAAGTGCCCCAAGACGCGCCTCATCTGTCAGATCTGTGCGATCGGTCTCTGTACTCGGGGGCATGACGGATGCCCCCGAAATTCTATTCATTGCTTAAAAGAGTTTGCTTTTTGTCTCAATACTAATTAGAGTTTCTTGTTTAATTCGGCTTTCACGACGATTGCTATTCATTTCTATCCAAAAAGTTTGAGTTTGTTTTGTTTTAATAAGTATTAATTAGAGTTTCGTGTTTATTCAAGTGGATTTCGCTTTCAGGCTAAGTATATTTCCATTCATTTTCTGTTTGATAATTGATTCTAATTAATTCTTACTCTTAATATATTATATTGCCAAATCGATGGCGCGCTTTATAGGTGGTACGAAAGTCAGCTCACAACTCAGCGAAATAAATAACTTAAATAAAGGGAATTCTCCAAACTCCTATAAAGTCCTCATTTAACTTATATTAGCTGCACATACAAAACAAAGTACTTTTTGGTACTCTAAGTAAATAATGGGAATATTGGGAACAATCTTTGTTATTCAAGTGTTATAATCTTCGAGGTATTTTCTTGATATTGAGTACAAATTCGAGTGTATTTCACTAACCCGACTGCAGAGTATCTTTAAGTTGATAAATTTTAAGATACTTTTTTCATTCTAAGATAAATAACTGCAACAATCTAAAAATAATCGCACAAAGAAATACTGTTTCGTGGGATCTTGCTCTTCTCTAGAAAGAGGGAAATTCTTGAAGAGCTTATTGCGACGTAGATTCTTCACCTTTCCATAGCACATTTGTGTCATTCGAATGTAAGTACATAAGTAGATCTGTATGACATTGCCATACGCCCCCACAAAAATGTGGGTGTTTTGGACAATTTCCCACGATATGCGTGTGATGGGTTGCAGAAACAAAAAAAAAACATTTTGTCAATAGCTGAGCAATTCGAGCCACAATAACAACACTTAACGCTTCGAGAAACAGTTAGTCATAGTCATGGCAAGATCAGCAGACACTGCAAAATATCCGAAAACAACAAAAAATGTTGACTGTAGCCGCAAGCGGCGGCCTTATTGAAACACACGAGTGGATACACCTTATATATGTAGAAATATTAGGTACAAATCGGGGCTCTTAGCCATAATTAGAGCGGACGACGCAGAGAGGGGGGCAGAGGCAAAGAGATGGAGAGAGAGGCGGGCTGGACTCGCTCACGCAGTGGGCCCAGGTAGAAAAGATTGATGGATGAAGCTGAAGCTGAAGCTGAGCTGCGCTCTGAAGTGTCAAAGCTGCAGCTCAGCATTGAGCTGGCGACATTGACCTTTATTTGCCGTGTACATAGACCAAATTAATGATTCGCTCGTAGCTCAACAACAATAACAACAATTGCACGTGGCACGCTCCGGCTTCAGGCACCTGACCGAACCGCAAAGTGAACCAATTTTGTTTTAGCAATTTGATCAACATTTTGGTTTCGGCCATTTCATGGCTCCATTTCTACTGACTCATGTGCGTTTATTGCTGGCA